CAGTGTGATCGCCCGGACCTGAACGTGCGGCACATCAATGCCTGTGTTCTGGTCCGGTGAGGTCAGAAAAAATGCTGCATACACTATTTTTTCTGACCACACAGGACTGGATTAGCATGGCTGATGTGCCACTGGCTGCAATGCCAGGAGCTGGCCGGGAATGTGATTCAGTGCGTTCCGGCTCCAAATGGGGCCGGAACTCAATGTTTGTGGCGTGAACTAGCCCTCAGAATCCCTAGTAGAATTTTTAAAGCAGGGCTGGACAAATCACAGGATCCAGGTAGCCAAAGCTCCTTCAAAATGACAGCCGGCACCTAACTTTTGAGGTTTTCTCTAGTTGATGCCAATGGAGCTGGCTCCTAAAAAAAATCCTGCTGGCTCCTTTGTTGGACAGACTGGCTCTTGAATTCTACATTAATTCCCCCCTCCCCCCTGTTGTGAAGGAGGTGGCTCAGTTGGGTTGCCACCTCTTCTTCAAGTGAAACACGAACACAGTCTAGCGACTATTTTTTGGGAGAATGAGTCATGGCTTATTCATATGTAAATAGCGCCGCCCATTCATATGTAAATATCACAGTTCAGACTATTTCCAGTGGGGGGCCAGTAGCCCCTATCGTAATTTTGGTTGCCCCTGTCTGCCTGACATCTTGTGTCCGGGTTTCTGCTGCCATGAAACCCGGTAAACAGCATTCAAAACCCGAACTGAATCCTGGACAGGTGGCAACCCTATGGCTCAGGCTGTTTGTGGCCCTGTCATCTCATCGGGCCGCCAGGAGCTCTCCAAACCATTCTGTACAATTTGCATAATACGCACTCGGCTTGGATTCCCATTATTTTGAATTGGATTTCCAGTTCAGAAATTTAGAATCTTGGATATTCCAGAACCTTTAAAGGAGAACTATGGGGTTAAGGCTTTTCCCCATAGTTCTCCTTAGGGTAACGGGAGGACACAAACTAGCGTCCTCCCGTCACCCTAGGCTCAGTATACTGAGACAATTATGCCGGGATCCGCCCAGCTGCGTGACTGACAGCTGGCTCTGCCTATCTAGAGGCAGAGCCAGCTGTACCACTCCCCCGTCCGTTCCGCCAGTCAAAGCTGGAGGATCGGAGCGGGGAGGGGGGAATACAGTCCCTCCCCTGTCACGGCAGAGAGCCGTGACAGGATCGAGAGGTGAGCGAACGCTGGTATGTGTTCGCTCACCTCCCGATCTACTGAGCCGACCTGTGACAATCTCATTGTCACAGGTCGGCTAGAACTATGAGGTGAGTGAAAAGCACTCACCTCATACTTCTCCGTTTAAACGTTTGGCCAAACCACAGCTGATCAAACTTTTCACAAGTTCTCTCATCTCTACTCTTGACTCATGTCTACCCTTGACTCATCTCTACTCTTGGTCTCCTCCAGTGATTCCATAGGCGCTGAGCAATCATGATGAAAATGCTATTTTCGCCTCTTCTTATGGGGATCTGATTTGTTCTTTATTTTATTGTTTTATTGTATCTCTTGGAATGTTCTCCACAAGCTGCCCAGTGTTTTACTATCGTGCACGCTGCCAAGGGACCTCCGATCCCTGCGGCCGGAGGAACAGCGATTCCCGCTGTCTCTTCTCCTCCTCGCCCCGACACCCCGCCCCGCCTCTCCTCTGTGAACGGAGGAAAGCACAACAAACCAGACAGAGCGATGTATTATTTGGGTGCAGTGCAATAATATTAGCGGAATATATCAACACAAAGCAATATTTTCCCTGTCCCAACGGTCCAGCCATTGTTTTCTCCATGTGACCGCATCAGATCATTTGAGCCGTCTTACAGCAGCATCTTGTTTTAAATGGGTTTTGGTTTATGATGAATAATCATTAAAATCTGTTTGCTTAGAGAGCTGATCTCCTAAATTAGATAACTCTAAACATCTCTTGTCTGTGCTTGCTTTAAAGTGTATGTCTGGGCACAACGAAAGAAAAACCACATTCAATGCATCTTTCCAATACAGCACATTTCCCCGTGTTTTATGCCTATAAAAACTCTGCAAGTGCAGAAAAATACTTGCCAAAAAATCCAGTGTGCTCCTAAATTCCTGTTCGAATTGATAACATAGTGTATCCGCTGCACTCCCAGGCACCGCTGTTAGTTCTGCCCAGTTCTCCCACGCTGGACTACAGAAAATCTACCTTTCATGTTATGGTGATGAGGAGGCGCAGTGTTCTGTAGCCCAGCAGGGGAGAACTGAGCAGTGATAGTGATAACGCTATTTGGGGATGCAGCTGATTAAGCTTTTCAGACGTCTGGTCATCACTACTATCATCAATTCCAAACGTCATGGTTTCAGATCCTGCAACACTGTTAACCTGCATTTCACCCATTTACTTTCTGGGTAGGTGTGTTCAAAGCACCTCCACTTTGATTGGTCCCACCCAGACGCTGCTTTTATTTATAGGTCAACCACCCACCATGCCCCGTTTTCGTGCTGGTCATGTCAAGGCCCTGCCTCTAAATATAAGGGGACTACCCACTCACAGCCCCAAACCACCCAATTATGCTCCTTGGATTGTAAATGGGTTTGGCTGTTGATTTTCCACTTCAGGTGGGTCGCCATATTTATACGGCGGGCCCCTGAAGTGGTTATACCAAGAACACAGCTGTGGCTGCAGCCGTGTTCTTGGTACTGTTGTAAACAGCCGGTGCTGTCTGTTCAGTTACAAGCGATCCGGTGACTGTGCTCTTATATGGTGATGGTGGTGGGATAGTGAGGGGAACGGAAATGGACCAACTTCTGGCCAGCTGGGAACTGAAAAAATGACCGCCTCCCCGGAGCAGCAAGAAGGAAACTCAGTCATAGATGGTCAAATGGATGAGTCTAGACCAGAGGTATAAAGGGCCTCAACTCTTGCCTGGGACATCACCGAAGGGCTACACATCATTTTCAGTGTATGTAGTGTAATGCTACAGTTGTCCTGTGGACATACTACAGGAGATTGTCAGAGACGGCAGATATGCTACAGGTGTGGTTGGATACTAAAGACATACAGAATAACACAGCCAGAGACTGAGAACATGTTATAAGAGACTGGATGAAGGTGCCCATACACTTTACAACCATCGCAAGACCTTAGTCTTGCGATGGTTGTAAAATAATTAAAAAAACGTATGATCTGCCCATCTTGGACAGGCAGATCGCACTCTCGATCATCGCAAGCCCGTCCCCCTGAGGGGCGGGCTTCCGATGACCGCAATGCTGAACGGGCAGTGTGCGTGTGCGACATTTGTCTCCCGAGCACCGTTCAAACCAGCCGAAAATCGTACGATTTTCGGCTGGTTTTCTAGCGTGCTCCTTAGACAAAAGACGTGTGACCGTACAGTAGAAACGGTCGCACGTCTTCGTTCACACTGCTCGATTCTCGTACGATCGCAGGATTTCCCGCG